AGCCCGTCGCGTTTCTTCCTCCAAGGCATCCTCAGCGGCTCGAGTCTCCTCCGAATCCTCCGGACTTTCATCGTCGTCGTCGTCGTCATCGTCCTCATCGCCCAGCGTGAAGGGATACGGGCCGGAGGATGACGTACGCTTCGATGACGGCCGGATAGGAGGTCCTGAGCCGTCGGACCAGTCGGATTCCTCATCCTCGTCGTCCTCCGAGCTGCCAAGTCCACATCCAGGGGGAATGACACGTTTGGCCTTCCCCTTCCCGGGTCCAGTACGGGCCGCGAAGGGCTGATGGAAGCGGGCTGGGGAACGGCGGACGTACTTCCTCCCGCAAGGAACCGCGGGGGGATCCTCGTTCTGGAAAGCCGCATCCTGCGTTTGTGAATAGGGGCGCTAAAATACCGCCTCTGTGGGGAGGGGAATCTGCCTCTGGATCTCCATTCCGCCTTTGGAAGCACCACGATTCGTCTGGAGCGTAGACCCAGTCTGGACGCCGTAGACCCAGTCTGGGGTCCAGACCCAGACTTGGACGTAGTTGCAGATCCAGTCTTGGACACCGAGGTAGATTTGGATCTAGCGGTGGATCCAGACTTGGATCCTGCACCCGACTTCGAGGGGGAAGCGGAAGTCTTGGACGCGGATGTGGATCCCGCCTTGGACGCAGAGGTGGATCCCGCTTGCGAAGCCGTTTAAGAGACCGGAGTCGTTTTGGGTTTGGCTTTCGGGGAAGCTCGAGCTTGCTTACGGGGACGGAGAATCCGGTGCTAGGAGCGGGAGACGCACTACGCGGACGTTTCGCAACTGATGGATCTGCCCCACTTACAGACGGGAGAGGAGCAGAGACGCTGGCAGCACGAGAAGGTCCCGACAAGGGAGGAAGGGGATCCGACACGGCAGCTGTCACCAGCGCCAGTCGTCGACGAGCCAAATCCCGCTCCGATAAGCCACGATCGCGCTCCAGGACCAGCTGTTGCTGCTGAGTTTGGGCTGCAGCAAGTTGATCCCGGAGTTTCGCGGCGGTCGCATCGGCTTCTTTCAATTTGTCACCTGGATGGACAATAACGAGTGCATATGGGGCTACTAGCAAGGACTAAAAGAGGATCCACGTACTCGTGCGGCGAATCTTGGATTTCAGCTCTGTTTGTGCACGCTTGGCAGCCGCCCACTCGGTAGCCGCCTTGTCCCGCTGGAGTTCGCTGTCCGCCAGTTTCGCTTGGATCTCGTCGCGTAATTGAGTTATATGCACGAACTCCTCGAGCGCGTACTCTCGTCCGGCAGACGCTTTCTCGAGCGACTTCTTGGTATCCTGCAACTCCTCAGCAAGCTGAGCCAGAGCTACATCTGGCGATGAGGGAGGTGGATTTGGCGCGGGAGCTCCTCCACGCGCCGACCCTAAGGTGGATCCGCCACGGGTGGATCCCACATAGTCGTTGGTCACCACCTCCTCCTGGGTCAGACGCAACTCGTCACGGAGCCGGTCCAAGCTAGACCGCCTGATCAGCCAACAAGAGTCGCAGGTCCTGCGACCGAGAGGCCGCACGGTGCTCCCACCCCTGGATCTCCATAGCCTGATCATGGATTTGGGCTCGCAAGGTCTGAAGTTGGGTAGTGTGCAGAGACGCAGCTTGGTCTTGGGCATCTTGAGCCGTCTGGAGCTCCGCCGTCAGGGTTTGCACCTGATCGGAAAGAGCCTGGGCTAGAACCCGCAGATCGGTGGGCGACATGGAAGACGGACTGACCGGAGGTGTGGTGGATGGGGCCTTGCTCGGCGATTTTCCGGTACGCTTGGCGGGAGACATGTGTCGCGAAGGGGAGAAAGCGGTTGTGGATGCTGATAATGCACGCCGTGAACGCTGTTGTGCAGCGCCGACAACGTACAGGAGGTGATTGTGGTGAAGAGCTTTCTCAGAAATAAGAGAATGGGCCTGACGCGGGGTCACTATCCCAAATCAGTGACAATTTCAAGTGATTAGAGAGGATTTGGGTTGTCTGGCACGGATGCAAGTTGCCTGTGGTGGATTAGCCATGACGAACAACACCCCGTATGAAGTGACGATGGATCTGGTTTGAGCGATGTACGAGAAGGCAAGATCCACCAAGACTTATCTCGGATCCACCCTTACCTGGATCCACTTAGACGGATATGGGATATACTATGTACCAGTGGATCGAGTGTGGATCCTATGAAGGAATGGTGGTAGGTGCCATCCGAAGGTGGATCTAGTAG